AAACTAGCCTCTCCTCCAGCAATCCTTCCCCTCCCCACCCCACCCCCAATAAGCAAAGCCTTGTACAGGTCCATTGATAATTTTGGATCTTCCTACAAAAAGACATCAAAAAAATTATTGCCAAACGGGGATAAAATAAACATTTCATGGTATTACCCTTCCTAATAAAAATAGGAATTAGGTTTGCCATAAAAGTTTCATCAACCCTACACCAGTGTTTCTCACTGCTACTCACAGAGTCTTTGAAGAGCTTTAAAGATATCTTTTGTTTACTATGAAACTACATGGACATATGCCAAAGATTACTCTGGTTATACAAGTTGTCAAGGAAACGCACATAATAGAAAGACTGAAAAAACACCAGGACTGTTTATCTAGAAAAGAATTAAGCAGATGTTGACCAGAAGCTTTTACTTATACTCAGTCACCTTGAGCTTGTTACAAGCTGATCTGAAAGCTGGCAAATTAAGAGGCAGCAAGATTGTTTTCTCAAAAAAAAAAAAAAAAAAAAGGCTTGGCAGGGAGGGGCAATCTCTCCAGATGGGCCTTACCAGTACTGACTAGATGGGAAGGATCACATCCCTTGACCTAACAAAAACACTCTTCCTAACACAGCCCAGGATGTTGTTATCCTTTTTTGCCTCAAGGGCACACTGCTGACTCATGATCACCTTGGCATCCCCTCAGGGCCTCTTCTGCAAAGCTGCTTCCCAGCCAGTCAGCCCCTGGTATGCAGTGCATCACAGGGCTATTCCTGTCCTCACCAGGGGCAGGACTTGGCACTTCCCTTTGTTAACCTTCTGAGGTTCCTCTCAGCCCATTTCTCCAGTACCATTGAGGTTCGTCTAAATGGTAGCAGAACAACCTAGCGCAGCAATCCCAGTAAACTCCTTACTGTCTGCAAACTGTCTCATCATCCAGGTCATCAAGGATGATCTTAAACCATACTGGTCCCAACATCGGCCCCTGGGATACATCACTAGTGACTGGCCTCCAGCTTGAATTTGTGTCACTAATTACAAGCCAGCAGGTCAGCCAGTTTCCATTTCACCTCACTGACCACTTTTTGTTCATCCTTTAACAGTTTGTCTATAACATTACAGGAAACAGCCTCAAAAGCCTTGCTAATATCAAGATAAACGTCCACTGCTCTCTCATCAACCAAGCCAGTCACCTCATCATAGCAGGCTATCAAGATAGCCAAACATGATTTTCCTTCCCCTTCACAAGTCATGCTGACTTTTCCCAGTCATCATACATTCTTCATACATTCTGAAACTGCTTCCAGAAGAATTTCCTCCATCACACCTTACCAGAGAGCAAAGTAAGGCCAATTAGCTTGTAAGCTCTCTGGATCCTTGTTGTTCTTGGACATAAGGAGTAACATTTGTTTTCTTCCGGTCCTCAGGAACCTCCTCAGGACCTTTCAAAGACTGAAAGTGGCCTTGCCTCAACCATCTCCTCCAGTACTCACGGGTACATCCCATCAGGTCCAATTTGCATATGTCCAATTTAAGTGTTCCATAACTTGTTGCTCCTCCCCTGAGGAGGAGTCTTTATTGATCTAGACTTTCCATCAGGGGCCTGGGATTCCTGAAGGGCAAATCTTACTGGTAAGGACCAAGGCAAAGACAGCAATCAATACTTTGGCCTTCTGTATCCCCTGTCGTCAGGTTCCCTGATCCACTCAGCAGCAGGCCCACACTTCCACCCTTTTGGTACCGATATGCTTCTAGAAGCCCTTCTCATTGCTTTTCACTTCCCTCACCCATTTGAAATTCAGATAGGCTTTGGTTTTCCTACACTAACCTTCCATGCTTAGACAATGCCTCTGTATTCCATCTGAATCACCTGTGCCTCCTTATACCTCTTGTATACTTTTTTTTATATCCAAGTTCTGTCAGTAGCTACTTGTTCATTCAGTGCAGACATCCTGCCACCTTTACTCATTTTTCTGCTCATTAGCACAAGCTTGAGGAAAGCTTGGAGAAGACGATCCTTCAGAGGATCGAACAAAAAAACCCTGCTGTCCAAGACTCCTCTTCTCTCCAAGACCATATCCCCATGGGACTCTTCTTAGATTCTTAAACAGGCCAAAGTCTGTTCTCCTGAAGTTCAGGATTAGAATCCTGCTACACTTTCCTTCCTCTCAGGATCCTAAACTTGATCTCACAGTCATTGCAGCCAATGCTGTCCCTAGTCTTCCCATCCTCAAGCAGTTCTTCCTTGTTTTAAGGATCAGGTCCAGCAGAGCATCTCCTCTTCTCAGTTTATTGATCATAAGCATTAGGCACCTAGTTGTCATTAGCACACTCCAAAAATTTCCTGGATTGCTTGTGAATCACTGCGTTGTCCTTTCAGTAGATATCAGGGTAGTTCAAGTGCCCCAGGAGGATCGGGGCCTGAAAACATCAGGTGATTAGGGGAAGCCTTATTCTTCATCTACTGCCTGGTCAGGCCATCTGGAACGGGCATCCACATCAGCCATGTTCATCCGCCTTCTAATCCTAACCCATGAGATTTTAGCTGGATCATAATCTGTCCTTAGACAAAGTTCCATGTACACCTGTTGCTCTCTCACATAAAGGGCAACTCTCCCTAACCATCCTGACCTGTCCATCCTACAGGAATTGCAACTATCCGTGGTAGCCCTCTAGTCAGGGAGTTAGTCCACATCTGCTATCTCAATGAGATCATAACCCTGCAACTGCACAAAGACCTCCAACTTGTTTGTTCTTCATGCTGTACTTGAGAGGCATGCAGCTGTGACTTCCCAGAAAAAGTATGAGCACTTCCCCCATAATGTTGTCCTTCCAGCTCTTCCTTATTTGCAGTCATTTGAGGTAGCCCCTCCATTGGCTCTGTTTTGTTTGAAGTCTCATCTAATCTCCCAGCGCTTTGCCTTCCAACCCAATCCACCATTTCCTCACTTGACTGCAGGTCATCTTACTTCCCCATCATTCCTACTTCAAAGCTTTCCTCACCAGGATGGCCAACCTGTTAGCAAAGATGTTCTTGCTTTTTCTATCCTAGTAGAAATCTTCAAAGTGTTTCTACCTGTCTTGCTCTTTCTTCTACAACTCTAACAGTTTGCAGAGCTATAGGAGACTTGTTTCAACTCCCCTTGTCTGACCTGGCAAAGGAATTTAGGTCCTAGGACAATACTCTACCTTTCCCATGGAGAAGGCAGCAAGAACAGAAATAGCAAGGAAGTCAGCATGGAACAAGCTGAAACTCTGCAGGACACAGCAACAATCACAGATAGAGGAGCTGCAAAAGTGACAGCAGAGATGTAGCTCCAAAACCATTCCCCAAAATCCTTTAGTCTTTAGATAGTAAGGGCACTCATGTCTCAGCCATTTTGCATAAATACTCTGTGCAACAAAATCCAATACTTCACTTACTGTCAAATCCAGTCCAAAGTTGAAAGCAGGACTCCCCAAGGGCAAGCGGGGGCAAAGAGTAAAAACAGTGACTCAGTATGT